ATATTTTTGTGATGTATAATTTATTTTATTTTAATTTGGAAAGATAAAATAATTTATCTATCTGTCTAATTATTTATTAGATAAACTTGTCCACCAATAGCAAAAAAGTACTAGCAAAAAAATATTATAATCTAAAAGGCTTGATCAAGATAGGATCGAGAGCAAATTTTATAACCAGACTACATTCATTACCCAATCACCATATGTTTATTAGGGTTCATATTAAACAAATCAAGCTTTTGTGCATATAAATTAATATGTTAGTTTTTGTTGGATGTGAAGTAATAGACACAATAACACGGAAGCAATATATCTTTAATAAATTGATAGTGAATAAACAATAATCAACAATCAATAACACAAGAAAAATAAACACACAAAAAATTATATGAAAAATCATTCAATGTAAAGGAAAAAAATCACGGACTACTAGAAAAAACTCTACTATTAAATAATGGTATATAAAATTCTCCTTTAACTAAAATTAGAGAGAGAATTAGAGAAATATTACTAAATATGTAACTTAATAAATATACAATGGATCAGTTCTTAGAGAACTCTAACCCTGACCTCCATCATTAAAAATGTAGAGCATTGAGTTGTGAATATGTTAGACAAAATTTCAAGCTTAATCAAACCGTGGATCAAATTCCATACAATCACATGATCAATCTAGAAGCATTCTCTTTCTCTTTCTTTTCTGTCACTCAACAATAATTTTTTTCTCTCTCAAGGCTCACTGTTTTTCACGTCCTTTAAAAAAAAACCTCACTTTTAGTTTTAAACGAGTTTTAGTTAAAAAGAAACAAAGTTTCATAGCCTTTAATTAACCAAAAGTGAATGGGGCTGGACCTCACGTCATAACATTCTCCATTCCAACCCCATAAGAGGAGATTTGTCATCATAATAGTATCATTTGGAATAACTTTAGTAAAAAAATTCATTCCAGCCAAGTTACTACAGAATTCAAATTTTTTCCTAAGAAGTGTCTTGTTAACATATACATTATTTTTTTATCAGAATGGACCTTCTTTAATTGTATTTATTACTCTTCAATTATCGAATGCAACCAATGATATCTAACATCAATATATTTTATTCTCGTCTGTTATATGATATTCTTACTCAAATCTAAAGCACTTTGGCTATTATAAAAGATCACATACTTTTTTTAATTCAACCCTAATTCAAAAAAAAATATTTCATCTAAAACATTTCTTTGCTTCAGTTGCTACAATATGCTCAGCCTTTATATTTGTAAGAAAATATACTTTTACAACTTAGACTGTTAAGACATAGCTCCTCCTATAAAAGTAAAAAAAATACCTTGAAGTAGATTTTTTTTCATCAAGATCTCTTACCATGTTAACATAAATAATCTCTTCTAAAACTGGTTGTATAGTTTCATACTCAAGCATATTTTTTTGGGTACTTCTCAAATATCTAAAAATTTATTTCGCTATTTCCTAATGAATCTTTTCTATATTAGAAAAAAATTTGTTCACTACACCAATTACATGAGTAATTTCAGGCCATGTGTAAATCATAAAATATATCAAAGAATTGATTACAGAGGAATAAAAAATACTATACATAGCTAGTTACTTTTCCTTAGTCACTGGATAATATTTCTTACTCAAATGAAAATGGTTGGCAAGTGGAATGCTAATTGATTTAGCGTGCTAGATGTTGAATCTATTAAGCACCAATTCAACTTATTTTTCCTATGATAATTATAACTTCTCAACTTTTCTGTCCTGGATAATATCTATACCAAGAATCTGTTTTGTTGAACCTAAATATTTCATATCAAAGAACTTAAATAATTGTTCTTCAACCTACAAACGATACCAATATCATAACCCACAATTAGCATATCATCAACATATAACAAAAGAGTAATGAATTTACCATCAAAATTTTTTTGATATAAACACAAAGATTTGCTGCCATTCTTTTATACTTGTGACTTATCATAAAATAATCAAATTTTTATTCCCTTACCGTAAAGTTTTGTAGTCATAAAAGCTTTTCTTCAGTTTGTAAACTAAATGTTTTTTTACTTTTCATTTCGAAACCCTTAAGTTAATCCATATAAATCTCCTCTTATAAATTACCATGTAGAAATGTAGACTTAACATTAGGTTACTCAAACTTAAGATTCAAACAAGCTGATAATTCCAATATCACTTGAATGAAACTAATTTTCACAACTGAAGAGTAAATCTCATCAAAATTGATGTCGGGTTTTTGAAAAAAAAAATTCATCATCAATCGAGCTTTGTACCTCACTAGTTTGTCACCATCCGTTTTTTAGATTGAACACCCATTTATTCTTTAACAACCTTCTTATTTTTAGAAGATTAACAAGATCATATGTGCCATTTTTCATAATGACTATTTTTTCTTTTATTATTTTTAACCAATGCTTTTTATTTGGAATAATTTGCACATTTTAGAAGTTCTCTAACCCCTCTTATCTGTAATCAAAATAAATATAAACTTGGATACCTAATGGATGATTGGTGCTCTTTGATAAATCTCATAAGCTGAGACTTTACGCTATTATGTTGTAGGTAACTCTCTTTACTCAACACTTTCTTATGGATATGATTGTTCACCCTGTTTAAGACTCTTTAGTGAAAAAGATTACATCTAGCTCATCATTAACTGTGGTTGGCTCACTTATATCATTGAGTTTTATCTTTTTTCATTTTCGTCATCTGTGGCTCTTTTAGGTAAAACCTCTATTAGTGCTGAATCATCATAATCAACAGTAACTCGTATAGTCTTCTCAATCTTCTTAAGGTTTGTTATGATTTTTTTTTATGAAAAATCACATTTTTGCATCTGATTATCTTTTTCTTCACTAGATCTTAAAATTTATAGCCAAATTCCTCAGTATCACATCTAACTAACACACACTGTGTGGTTTATTTCAAGTTTTGAACTAAACTCTTTTGGTATATACATGAATGTTTACACCTAAAAACTTTTAAGTAAGAGTATAAAACATCTTTTTTCATCCACTCTCTTTGTGGAATGTTAAAGCCGAAATGAACTAATGGTAATCTATTAATTAAATAACAGGTTCTGTTGATTGTTTCACTTGAAATGGCTTGGATAATTTTGTCATCCTCAGTATGCATCTGACTTTTTTTTATAATGGTACAGTTTATCCTTTTCGGTACACCATTATGTTATAGTGTTTTAGGTTTTGCCATCTCATATCTAATCTCATATTTTAAGTAGTATTCTTCAAAGTTTTTAAATGTGTATTCTCTATCATTATCAGTTGGAATATATTTGAAGGCAACCCTGTCATCCTTTTCACCGTGACATAAAATTTTTGAAAATATTAGAGTATGTGACTTTTATTTTTCAACATATACACCTAAGCCTTAAATGAAACATCATTAATAAAAGTAACAAAATATCTGCTACCACCTAATGGCTCAACCTCAATGAGACCACATACATCAAAATGAATCAATTTCAATCTATTTTCTTTCTTTTGAGAACGTTTATGGAAGAAACTTTATAATGTTTACCAAGTAAAGAATTATCACATGAATTAAAAGACATGCCTTTGGTCAAAGAATGAAAAACTACCTCACCAAAATTTGTAACCCTTTTTGTTCATGTGTACCAACCTTTTATGCCATAAATTTGCTAAAACATCAACCTCAATGGCATTTATCTGATTGACACTCAATTGCATCCACATCATGTATATTGTGTAGCATTGTTTAGCATTATGTTCCCCTTGCAATTATCGTAGATCCTTTGCGAAGCTTTCATTATTCATTATTTTGCTAACTTTCATATAATTTCTTATCAAAGATATTAATTGCAAGTAAGCTCATTCTCATATCTTAAATGTATTTGACATCCTTCAAAGTCAACTTGCAACCCATATTAGTTTGTACAACAATATCACCAATCTTAATAATTTGTGAAACACATTGTTTCCATCTTATTGCAACCAAAGTCTTCTACTTTGTAAGTTTTAAACAACTCTTTCTTGGAAACATAATGATATATGCCGCTCTTATGTCAACTATTCAGTCAATGCTTTAATCACCAATATGATTACAATCATCAAGTGTATAAATTAAAGTAACTAAATTATTATTTGAATTTACTATAGCAACACTACCATCATCTGAATCTTGTTTTTTTTATCTTTTCACTTTTATTTCAAGATTTTGTAGTTTCACTTTATGTAATTGGGTTTACCATAGTGGTAGTACTTCAATTTATCTATTGACTTATATCTATATGTAGACTTATTACGACCTTTAAAGTTATGACCTCTATCAATATTTTTGCCTTTGTTCTCTATGATAAGAGCTTGATTTCCAAAGTATAACTCTTTTAACCTTTAAAAATATTTTCCTTTGCCATCTTCAACGTCACGTTATAATTTTGAGTTAAATTTAAAATAGTCATAATTAGAATGTTCCAATTGTCTAGCAATGAACCTAGAAAATAAACTGTCTTCATTTTATGATCCATTTTATGCTCTATATTAGTCATGCAATTGAATATATCTTGAAAATCACTAAGTTCTTTGTAATTGGTCATCCATCCTTGTACTGTACAGTTACAAGCTTTTTAATAAGCATAATTTTATTGATACTTGTCTTCCTCTTATACAATACTGCTAATTTTTTTTCCAAACGTTGCAGGCGTTTGTCTTCTATGCCACATAATAGAATATACTGATATCAATCAATTTTTTAATTATAGCCAGCATTTTTCAATCCAGTTTCTTTTAACTTTCATCTTTCATATTTGTTGATTTAGCCAAATCATTCAATATTGGCTCTTTCTTTCTTTCTTTCTACCTTTTATGATTATTATTATTATTACTATTATTATTGGTATTGTCTTTGTCTAGCATGTTAAACTTGCTTCTTTGGATAAATAAAAACAACTTTAAATATAATGATAAATCCAACTAAAAATAACATTTAAGATAATTTCATCACAATTATTTCTTGGAATTGGACTACTCAAATTGATAAAACGACCCATATATATTTCTTTCCCAAACCCTAGTTATTTATTAAAAATCACATGTAAGATAGCATTGCATGCATGATGCATGCAAATTATATTAGATCCTTCATTTGTATAACAACAGATATGTAATACTAAGACCAGAACAATGATACCAGGTACGTACTACAGTACAGAAGCTAGTTAGATGACAGAGATATATGTGGAAAAACCGAATTAAACATGAAGTAACATCATATTATATATCATCTGAACGGTGGATAATTATTCCTCACGCCATTACCATATAATACTGATGTTCTTAGTTTACCCATTTCCATCTCCACCACTACCAGGGTAGTTATTGAAATCCTCCCTAGGAATGTAATGGTGGTTGGTCACACTGCTCCCTTTGGCATTGCCGCCATCATCAAGCAGCGTCCGGCCATGGACAATGGTGGCGTCTTCATGCTTGAGCACATCTACTTTTGTAACTTTTCTGTTTGCAGCCAAACAGGAACTCACCATCATCAATATAGCTAGAGCAAGAGCCAGAACCCTCAGTCTTGCACCCATTGCCTTTTTGTGTCTACAAAAAATGGAACAAGAATAAAGATAACTAGACCAGCTCTTATATATTAAGTTCTGATCGTAAACCAAACTATCGAAGTTAAAAATGTTTAATTAATAAGCAATTAATTTGGCAAGAAATTTACTTACCTACGTAGAGAGATCGAGTTGATGGCCTTGGGAAGAGCCAGGGAGGGGGAGAGAAAAGCCAAGCCTTATATAAGGAGAGAGGGTAGGGTTCATGTCACTGATATTAGAGAGAATTAATATAAATTTAGTGATGGGATCTCCACCAGATGAGCCAAGATAATTAAGTGGGATGACCATATTGTCTTATGCAAGTTGTTTTAAAAATAGATTAAAATGATGGAATTGAAAGAATTTTTTTTTGTCCACATGGGCACCAGCTATAAATAGGAAAATTCCACATTTGGAGGGTATTTATAGTTGATGCAAAAGTCAATGAAGCATGATAAGGAGTTGGTGTTCTATTGCCTGGTGATGTCAAATCAATTAGCATGGTGACCTAAAAAACAGTATTCCCCCGAAGTTTCTTGAAGCTCAAAAATTTGAACTATAAGGTCTAATTCAATCTTTAATGATTATTTCCTTTGAAATCAATCTTTCATTGACATATCTGAGTATATCTAAATGCCAAACTGATGAAAATTGTAAGCCATTTGGCAGCCTAATCAGCAACATATATTTGTAGCTTTCCAGAGTGCCTATAAACATTTTCTTTTTTTCCTGCATTATTCATCTGGAATTGCATGAACATTTAGTTTCCATGATAGGTGTATGTATCTCTTAATTTAAAAAGTAGGGTTCGAACAAATCAAAGAAAAATAAAAATCCATCTGGAACTTTTGCTGAGGATTAAAAGAGAAGTGCTCACTTCAAACATGGCTGCATGATATCATATGTTAGTTCTCAAAATTTTGATAGTGCAAGAGTGCAACTAATTTTTATTTATATCATCCACAACTGAGATATATATAAATTTAGAAAACGATCACTTTCAAGCTATAAAAGATCCCTTTGCATTTTATAAAGTGTAATGGGTTGAATTATTGTAGCCAATTGCAATGCTACAGATACTTCATCAATGGTCTCGTAGAACTTTGGAGGATAATTTGATTCACTTCACTCCAATATTGCACCTTATTGGATACACATAACACATTACTATCATTAACTTACAAAAAAACAGCAAAAGCAACCGAAAGATCTTCGGCTCTATTATTGTAGGTTTTTAGTCAAGGTCTGATGACACCTGAGGAAGAGAAAACAACTAAGAATCGGTATTTTCATGACCACAAAAGTAATTTACAACCTGAAGATCAGTTGTGCTGTGATAAACACCAACGTCAGTGCTAAAGGAATAAAATCGACTAATATTTTAACTCTTCAATTCTGATGTTCAAGGCTCAGTTTTCTATAATAGCAAATTGAAGATTACTGACTTGAACAAGCAAATTTTCATGCATCAATTGGGGGGGGGGGGGGGGGTATCTGGTTCCATCTCTCTTTGTGTAACGCGTGGTTGGAACTGCTGAACAACATATTTTTGGGTTGAAAAACCTAGCTAAGCTTCCACTACTTGTGGAATGTGGATTGAGTTCAATGGACGAGGATTGAGGAGAGAGGTTCTTATCTAGTTGTCTGTAGCTGGATAGAGCATACATCAAATCCAATGCTAGTTAATTGAAGTGAACTATTGTAATATCAGTCTGGTAATTATGATCGGTCAACAATGTTAATTTTGCCTTCAATTATTATACCTCTAATCTTACCACTGATAGGCTAGCTAGATAGATATTTGGCCTTTAATTATTGTGATTTATGAATATAGCAACCAATAAGATTAATGCCCCTTATTTACACAACCCATTACTCTTCATTTTATATTCAAGGAACTAATGTAAATATATATCTTTGATAAAGAAAATAAAATAGATTAAGATATTATACCCAATCGGTTGGTGCAGCAAAATCTTAATCCAGACCTAGCCCAAAAAATTTTATCAAATTTTTTTTCAAACTCAGCCCAGGTAATGCAGGCTCTAATCCACCCAAATCCCATGTCCTTGCCCAAATGATATCCAAATTGAAGATCTATCAGGTTTTTTTGTCAAGGTCAAACTATCAAAAGTTGCATTCTAACCAAAAAAATCGAAATTGTGTCAGGTTAATAGAGATCTGATGGCAAGTGTATCAGCAGCTTTCTAATACCATATTATCATAGATTTCCTGTCTAAATCTGATGGCACCCAAACCTCCATTTTAACAATTTACTTTGATAATTCCGACAATAAGTCAGTGTTATGATGGGGAATTCGGGCCGACGGCTGCTCTGGATTAATCAAGAATCGATATATGTATGTATAGGTTTACTAGCCTAACCAAAGTGTTTGTGACTGCAATGCTTGATGAACTAAAAAGCTTAATCAAGAAACAAAGCCCTCTGTTTAACTGAAACAAGGCTTGCCCCTGACGCTTTGTTTTTTTATAAATTTTCTCACCTATTCCTCCAAATATTGCGGAAGAAGCTAGCATTTTGCGTTGAAAAATTGCTCCCACACTTGTTGTGGATCAAATTCAATTTCATCTAGTTGCAAGTAATCGATAGTCGTTAACTCTATTATTGTTATAAAGCAGAGCTGGTTACTCATCATTAATTGGCTATATTGGAAACAGTAAAATAGAATCTAAAATTAATTTAATTAATTAATATAATCTTTCTTTAAAAAAATTCAATTTAAATTTTAAATTTTAAATCTTTTAACTCTTTTATAAAAAAAAAAAATTATTGTAATCCTACTTTAATAAAAACAAATTTTGGTACAATCCATTAAAAAGAGCTAATATATACGCATCTATCTACATCTAAAACCATTTATATATCTTCCGAAAATTTGGGGTCAAATAAAGTATACAAGTAATAGGTTCCATTATTCACAAGTCGGTGGGCCTGGCTGAGCTCCCTGACGCCCCTGGTCAGAAGCTTAGGTCCCCCACTGGAAATTGATTGGACCTCCGTTGTGATGTGAATAGGCCCTTTTTTTTTTGAGTCAATTGGCATTGTGATCATGTTTGAATATCGTGATTTGTGGTACGGTTGAATCTGTTGCCCGGATCGAAATTTTAACGGTGGATCACACAAAAATGGTCAAGTGAACCAACGATGTCTCAATTAGACCCTTTTATCTCAATAAAAAATTTTTACATTTCCATTATGCCCTTAAATAAATTGTTATTTACTAACAATCTAGCTGTTTTTTTTTTTTTTTTTTTCCATCAAACTATGCACTACGCCTATATGATCATAACTGAAAACCCATGTTCATGAACAAAGAATCCTAAATTACGTTTAATTATGATTCAAAAATTGTTAAGCAGTGAGGGTTAGGCTCAATGGCCCCTTGGATCTTAGTTGAATTTAAGTTAATTTAATATAATAAATAAATTATTTTATTATATTATGAACTAATAAATAAATAAATTTTAATATTATAGAATCAATATGAGTTAATTAAAAATAGATAATTACATTAATAATAAAGAAAGTAAAAAATATTATTTCACATATTACTATTTTTTTATTAATTTTTAATTATTTATTAATAAAATTATTATTTGATATAAAAATAGTTTAATAATTTTTTAATAATTTATTAATTTCATAAATGTTAAATATTTTAATATTTTCATTATATATAATTTTTAATCTAATGTTTATAATTAATTTTGCATTTAAAAACATATATCATCTTTTATGAAGGTTATAAAAGGCTTTTTATTTTTTTAAGTATATATAAAAGGTTTTTATTGTTAGTTTTTCATAGTCAGATTTATTTATTAACTAGTAGTTGATTAGAGTAATAAGTTTAGATGAGTTTAAAATTAAATATTAATAAATAATAATGGTTTTAAATTAAATAATAATGATTTTAAAATTAATTTTTTTGTTCTAATTATGTCACTTAACTAAAAATATAAAAAACAAAAAAAAACCACGTATATTAATTGTCATGTGTTAAAAAACAACTATTTAAGGTTTTTTTTTAACAGTGATTGTAAATTATAGATTTTTTAAAAAAAATTAATTATAGATTAATGGTATTTTGGCTAAAATAAATGAAATCACAAAAAATATTGATCGGATTTGATAAAAAAAAAAAAAAAGAATATAGGTATTTCAGGTGAAGACAGTGAAATCAGTAGCTAATTAAAATTTTTTTTTTGAGATATCCACTTATAATATATATATATATATAATTACAGACTAATTTATTAATTTTATCAATAAAATAACTGTTTAAGAAAAAAATTGGGAGATGTTCAAAAATTAAAAATTAAAAATTTTAAAATTTCAATTTTTAAAGACATATATAGATATTTATATATGTGGAGCGGTCCCTGCATAAAATTACACTATAAATTATCAATTCTATAATAGTTTTCCATCAAACTAACAAAAAAAATTATGAATATATAGTATATGTGACTGTGTATTTGTATACATGAAATGTGTGATTGTGATGAATAATCTCTTGTGCTGAGATAGCTAGCCAATTATTGTTGTTTACTGTTTACATGTAGATAGACTGAAATTTATCCAAGCAGCCAGCCAGCCAGCAGAATTTCCTCACTAATTTCCGCCCGTTGTACACTGCAAGAGCCGTTGAATGCTATCAAACCCACATAGCTCCTTCACAACAGGCATGGTGGCAGGTACCTCCAACTGGAATAATGTTGACTTAGACTCGTCTAGGCCACTCCATGAGAAAAGCTGTTGCCTGGCTTTCTTTATTGCTGACCTTGTAGCACTGTGAACCGAAACTGCTATCAGTAACGGCGGCTCTCCAGAAGCTGCAAAACAACAGATAAATTCTAAATTTGCTGTAAGAAATATATTCACAACTCTTTTCCATGTCCCCGACCCATAGACTAACAAAAACATTATTAAAGCAGCATCTTGATTATTATTCTAGTCCATGAAACTGGATGGTAACATAAAATAAGACTTGAAACAGCATAGTCAATGCAAGAAGCCAAATAATAAGATGTGCAAGGAGAAAACTGTTAATTGGTGTGGGTGGTTGTAAAAGAAACAAAATCTTTGAACGAATAGTTTATGAATAAACTCGATATTTGTTTGTTTATTAAATTTAATAAACGATGACGATAATATTTATAGAAACAGAACAAAATTGCTCATATTTGATTTGTTTACATCCTAAACAATGC